TTTTTTTTTTTTTTTTTTTTTTTGTAATTTTATTTCTTTTTGTGTAAAGGAAAAGAAAGCTGGTCAAAATTTGATAATAGTAACTTTTTTTTTTAATTTTAATTTTGGAGCGTGGAGTGTACGCGCGGCGAGTGAGCGTGGGAGCTAAATTGGACCGGACAGTATTTTGTTGTTTTTTTTTTTTGGTGAAAGGACGGAGAACCGTAAGATACGGTGGAGAGTGGGACCCACTTTTTTGTTTTCGTTAAAGCAAAGTCGTACGGTAGCCATTGGATTCGGATGGGGAAAGAAATTTTAACCAGTCACATCCGGTGTTCTTTCTCCAGCTGGCTCAGTGGTCCCCACACGCTCCGACATTTTTGTTTCCTTTGCCGACACCCTGGTAATTTGTTGTTGTTGTTTTTTTTTTTTTTTTAAATATAATTTTTCTCCCAACTCTTAATTTTAACATTGAAATTAAATTAATCATAATCTCAATTAATAATATTTATTTACTATTCTCGAGTTAAAGTTGGGTTGGATTAAAAAAATTTTTATATTCAATTTAATTGTTCGTTAGTCAATTTTTTTAACAAAAAAAATTTTTACATAAAACTCAATCCAATTCGAAATAATTTTTTTGAGTTAGGTTGATTTCAAATTTTAAAATTTTTGTTTTTAATAAAGGTAAAAATTAACGCTAAAAACATTTATTTAGTTTATTCCAATATTTAATTGAAATTTTTAACTTAATTTTAATATATATTTTTAAAAATAGAAATAAATAGTAAAAAATAATTATAAAATTTAATAGAAATGCATCGATGTCTCAAATTAAAAGACTTTGGTCATTTGGATTAACTCGAGCATTTGACATTTTAGTCAATAGTATAATGTCTTAGCGATAGCATCTAAGTTGACAATGATTCTTACTATATAGATAAATCTTTATCATTATATGATACGTAATATTCACGATTATTGAATATTTTAATCTTTTTTTTCAATAAACTACTCGTCATCTTAATTACGGGAGTATTTTTTTTTCATAATACTATAGTATATACTCTCTTATTAACACTCGAGTATGTGATTATAGACAAAAAATTTATTGCCTCGAGTCTTAGACGTTCTTTTAAACAAATATCTTTGTTCATTTTTAATAATTATATTAAAAATACTTATAAATTTGGTATTTTGTCTCAACAATAACCATAAACTTTTAAAATTTTCATTAATACCCTTCAATTAAAAAAAAAACGTTTTCAGTTAGTTACCCTTTTTAAAACTTTAAAAAATACCATACCGTAACAGTAACATACAAATTTTAAATTTTTTTTTAAAATTTATGAGATATTAACGATTACTTTTGAAAGTTCATAAATAAAAAAATTTTAAATGGTAAAAATATTTTTTTTAAATTAAAAAAATTGTTTAAAGATATTTTTAAAACTTTTAAAAATATTAGAATATTTTTATTAATTTAACCACATTTCCCTTTTAAAGTAGTAACTATCAAGATTGCTTTGTCATAAAAGGGTTTCAATATTCTCATAATTATCCTTTTATTTAATTTGAAATTATTCAATTTTCTTTTTCTTTAAAAAAGCAAAACTTAATAAATAATCATTTTGATTATAAAAAAAAAAAAAAAAAAAAAAA